ATCAGCATTGGGCTCATGCTTGTGAATGGCTGCTGCATTTCCAACCTGAGTGAAATTGGGAGAACCAATCTTAAAAGAGAAAGAAAGAAATAGAGAAGTAAAGAAAGAAAAAAGAGAAAGAGAAAAAGGTAGAGAAGAGAAGTAAAGAGGGAAGGAAGAAAGAAGGGAAGGAGGGAGGAAAGAAGGAAGAAAGAAGGAAAAAAGAAAGAGAAAAGGAAAGAAAAAAAGGAAAAAAGAACAGTTTGCCTGAAATGCACAGAATTCTGGGAGCAAAGATACCTGACTTTACTCATTCAACTAACATTTATTAATCTATTCTTCCTTTTCCAAAACATGCTATGTAAAAGAAAGCATATTATCACCCTTCTCTGGGCCTCAGTTGTAATATTGGTACAACAGAGGTGAAGGTACAATGAGGATGTTAATTTTAACGCAAGCTTTACTTGTAGGGTAAGATAGTAGGAAAGCATCCAGTTGCCTTAGATTAGTTTGGGTCTCCAGGCTCAGATAAATTATAACCAAAGGTTAGTACTTGCACATATAATGTCAGAACTAGTATAAGTGACCTTAAAGAAACCACTGAGAATAGGAAAAGGACAAGAAGACTGGAGACAAGTAAATATTATCCTGGTTTTTAAAAGGAAAAAGAGTAGATTCCAGAGACTATAGACTAATGAACCTGATGTTCACAGCAAATTTCTAAAATGAGTTATTAAATAGATGGTGGTTTGTGAACATGGTGGTCGCTGGGACCCAAAATGGATTCTCTAAGAATAAAGTAACCAAGGAAACCTCATTTCCTTTTTTTGATAGGATTAATGCCATGGGTTGGTGAATCAGGTGAATGCTGCAGACTTAGCACATATTTATTTCAGCAAAGCATTTGACAAAATCTTTCATAAAAGATTAACGGGTAAGATGGTGAAATATGGGGGGAAAGTTAGGTTGATTCCCAATCGGTTGAAGAATTGTACCCAAAGAATGTTGATTAATAGACTAGTATTAGTGTAGAGCAGTGAGGTCAAACTTAAAATAGAAATGGATCCCTGAAGGTCACATATTGACTTAGAAAACTACAAACTAACATCTGTGACTATGCTGTATTGCATTTTTATTTATTTTGTTAACCATTTCCCAATTACATTTTAATTGGGTTTGTGCTGCACTCAAGATTTTATAAGTCCTATGCTGTGAGTTTGACAATTCTGGTGTAGAAGGATGTCTCTATTGGGGTACCACGGGTCTCTATCGTTATGCCTATCCAGTTCAATAGTATAAATCAGTAACGTAGATGAAGACGTTAAAGGCATGTTTATCAAAGTTATGGATGATACAAAGCTTCAAGGGATAGTTAACATCATAGATGGCAGACTCAAGGCTAAAAAGAGATTTCTTGAGGCTGAAATTTTAGTTTAATGGGGATAAATGTAAAGTCCTATATTCTGGTTCAAAAAATTAAGTGCACAAATTCAGTCTTAATAGGAGAGGCCTAGCTTAACAGGATTTTGCATGAAAAAGGCCTGTTGGGGTGGGAGTGGTTGGTGGGGTTGGTTGATAGGGTTAACTGGCCATGAGCTTAATGTGAGCTGATGGTATACTGTGATTATTTAATCAATCAATCAACAAGCATTTATTGAGCACCAACTGTATGTCAGGCACTGTGCTAAGTGCTAGGAATATAAATACAAAAGTGAGACAGTTCCTTTTTATTCTAATAGTCTTAGGATACAGTAGTAAAAATATAGTGTCCAGAATGAGTAAAGTGAGTCCAGCTGTAGACCTGGGTAAGTAGCTCACCTCTGAAATGCAGTTTTCATTTATAGGAGACACATTTAATAGCGAGTTTGACAAATAGGAGAATATCAAGAGAAGGGCAGTCAGGATGGTGAAGCTTCTAACCTGCACTAGGAGAGGAATGTTTGGAGGAAAGAGGGATACTCAGACAAAAGAGAATTATAAAAGCTATCTTCAAATAGTAGAGGACTCTTACATGGAGGGAGGAGCACACATTCTTTGTTGTTTTACAGGGCAGACCTACGAGCACCAGGTGAAGTTACAGGAAGAAATAGTTTAGCTCTCTCTATGGAAAACCTTTCTAACAATTGGAGCAAGGGATGAATGATTATTTCTTCAGCTATTCTGTAGAGGGGCTTCCTACATCTGGTGGAAAGTTAGACTTAATCATCTCTAAAGACTTTCAACTTGAAGATTTGGCAGTCATGTGGCACAGTGCATAGAATGCATAAAGTACTGGCCATGGAGTCAGGAAGACCTGAGTTCAAATGTGGCTGCAGACAGTTACTGGGCCATTGTTGTTTTTTTTCCATGCCTCATGTTTCTCATCTGTAAGATGGGGTTAATAATAGAACCAACCTCCCCAGGGTTGTTGTGAAGTTAAAAGGAGTTATTTATAAAGTACTTTGCAAACCTTAAAGTACTATATAAATTCTATCTATTATTATTATTATTATCATTCTGTGAAGGCAAAGAGGTTCAGGAAGTATATAATATCAGAAGAGGTAGGGAGAAGAGTTTAGAATTGGATGATCATTTCCTCCCTAGATCCAGGGGGATTACTTTTTCATATTAGGAAGTAGAGTCAACAGTGGAGATGTCTTAGCAATAGACATAGAACACCAATTTAAGTTTATTTCTATACCTTTGGGTACTATATAAATAACTGGGAAAGACCCTGACTGATTCTGAGAATATCTTTGAAAAGGTAGGGCTTGGGTAAAATGCAAATAGTAAGAGCTCACATTACAAAGCACTGTTCTCCCAACAACCTATGAGTTAGGTATGGCAAGTCATATTATACCCATTTTACAGAAGTGAAGACTGAAGTTGAGAAAAGTTGAATGACTTGTTTGAAGACATGGTTATCAGACACTAGAACACTGACCTCTTGACTTTTTCCACTGAAGCATATTTCTTCTCTCATGTCAGGACACCTCCGCCTGTAAAGTTCTAGAACCTATATGAATAGAACCAGTTGGATATCTTAGGGATAGTGGTAAGGTGGGTTGTAGATTTCCTGGTTCCCCGGGAGAGGTGAAAACCAAGTTAAATGACTAGAGCCCAACAGACCCCAAGTATCCACTTGAAAGGTGGGTATTCAGTGCATTTAGGATCATGGAACACTAATTCTCTGCCAAGAATGAGGAATGGAGCATGTAAAGTAGGGTCAGTATCTATCTAATGGGCGGGGTAAAATAGAGGCAGGTCCTTCCTCTGTTAAATACTCAGGTATGGATACCCTTTGTTGTCTAGGCTCCCAAAGCCTCTCAAACTGTAAATGGAACACTGGCTAATTATTGTTTAATTATTGTTTAAAAACCAATTGGCACAGTACAATCACTGCATTAATTACCCTGACAGCATCTGCTTTCACTCCCACCCCACCCCCTTACTCCTCTACCAAGTCCCTCTCTCCTACTTTAATTCACATTCAGCTTGAGAGAACATCTCCTTTCTCCTGCCTGACTTGATCTCATCTATGCCAGGAAAGAGGAATAAACCATAAAAAGCCCACCGGGATTTGGGAGTTTTGACAGCTGTCCAAGATAGAAACTATCCACCTACAGAGATTCAGGATAGGGCCAAACACCGTGGAGATGGGGGAAAGGGGAAGAGAGAGGAGACATACACAGAGAGACAAGGGAGTAGGAAGGATAGAAAGAGGGGAGAGAACAGAGGTAAAGAGAAAGGACAGAAGCGCATGCTGGAGGTATCCACTGATAGGAGAATCGAAAAAAAAATCAAGGAAGTCAAAGAAAGTGGGGGGACAAGGGGGGGGTGAGAGAGAGAGAGAGAGAGAGAGAGAGAGAGAGAGAGAGAGAGATAGAGAGAGAGACAGGGACAGAAAGATAGAAACAGAGAGAGACATAAGACAGAGACAGAAAGACAGAGAGACAGATGGGCAGAAACAGACACAGAGAGAGGAGATAATAAGAGAAAGGGGGAAGGATGTGGAAAATCTCATGTAGGAAGAAAATGAGGAGAAGGGTAAGGAGGAGAAGAGGAAAAAGGAAGAGAAAGAAGCGATGGGGAGGAGGAAAGTAAGGAAAAGACAGTGTGGAGAGGAGAAAAAAGGAGACTGAAGAGAAAGAAGACATTAGAAAGTCAGTGCCAGATAGGAAAAGGAAAAGGTAAAGTAATGGAGGGAAGGTAAAGTAATAAGGGAAGACAGTTCAAATAAGCTCTCTCCAGGTCAGTCCCTGCTGGATCCCTTCTAAAAGGAAGTCTAACAGCTCAGTGACACCCCGGGAAAAGAGTGCAGCCCACCCTCTATACTCTTTGGGGGCCTGGGCTGGAGCGAGGAGCAGGAGGAAAAAGAAGAAACACATTCCCTTTACCCACAGCAAAAGACACCCCTCCCAACCCACCCAATCCCGACTCTGGCGCACCCCAGGCCCCAGCTCCCCTGGCCCGTGCCCCGCCCCCCTTCGCTCGGATGCTTCCTTAGCTAGGGCTTTTCCTGCGGGGCTCAGGAAGCTGGCCTAGCACAGCCACAAACAATAGCTCGGGGCTGTGCTCTTGTCTCGTTCCTCCTGCAGCTCCTCCGGGTGCGGCTGGACTCTGGGCAGGCTGGGGCAAAGAGGAGCAAGCATTTCCCGGAGCCGAAAAGGAGCCGGCCCAGGGCAGGTCCCGACCCCCTGCACTGGCGGGCACAGCCCGCAGCTAGCAGCTCGGGGCATTGTTGGCACAGAGTTGAGGGAGCAAGATCAGGAGCCGGAGGAGGAGCAGCAGGAGGAGGAGCAGGAGGAGGAGGAGGAGGAGGAGGAGGAGGAGGAGGAAGAGGAGGAGGAGGAAGAGGGAGGAGGGAGAAAGGAGGAGGAGGGAGGAGGGAGGAGGGACCCAGCCAGAGCAGGAGGGAGGGAGCTAAAGAGCGAGCAGGCGAGCGAGGGAGGGAGAGAGAGAGAGAGAGAGAGAGAGAGAGAGAGAGAGAGAGAGAGAGAGAGAGAGAGAGAGAGGGAGGGGAGGGAGGGAGGAGGAGGAGGAAAAATAAAGAGGAGAGAACGGAGCAGGGCTGAACAATAGAGACAGGCAGACGGGAGAGAAGGAGGACCAGCTGCTGCTGCTGGAGAAGGAGAGCTGGAGGCTGAGGCATCTTGGACCCCCTGTCCCTGAGCCAGAGAGGAGGCAAGCAGCCCGGCGGAGGGAACGGGCTACCATGGGGGAGCCGGCAGAAGGCTCCCCCAGCCCTCCCCGAGCCTCTGCTTGAAGCTGTGCATCATCTCCTCCGGCTCCCCCATCCCGCGCCTGCCCGCCCTCGAAACCCCAATTCCTTAGGATCTGATCGCTTCGGCTTCTGGGCACCGGGTCTCCGCCGCCCTCGCCCCCGCCCCCACGGAGGAGACGAGACGCCGGCCCTCCGTTTCACCTCCCGGGGGCTGTCCGCAGAGCCCCCTCCCCAGTCATGAACCCCCCGGAGGGGGCAGCGGAGGAAGGAGGAGCAGCCGACTCGGACGTGGATGCGTTTTTCCGGACAGGTAAGACTGGAAGGGGGCAATGGGGGTGGGGTGGGGGCGAGAGAAAGCCTCCCTTTGAGGCTTTGGGTTGCTTTGCTGGGGGCAGCATTGCCTACAAGTTTGGAAAAGGAGGGGAGCTGCGCCGAAAGGGGGGAGTCTCTTCCCCTCCCCCACTAAACCCTATCTCTCTTCTGTTCCCCCCTTCCCCCCCCAACCCCCCACCCTCCTGCTCTACCACTCGTTGTCTGGGTTATAGTTGCTGTGATTACTGTTGTTATATCAAAGTCCGAGACACTGTTGGCGCTTTGGCAGGGGTGGGGGCTTGTGGGCAGGATGCGGGGCTCACTCTCTTTTCCCTTGGCCACTCATGCTCTCAGTATTAAACCCCATTCGCGCGCGTGTGTGCCTGTGTGTATATATGTGTATCTATATGGGGGGGTGGGGAAGGGGAGGAGTGGAGGTGGGGAACTAGAGGTCTGTCCACTTCAGCTGCCTTCCCAGGCGCCAGGAGATGGGGCGATGTTGCCTCACTTGGTAGCGTGCAGCTCCTACAGGCACAGATCTTATCCGCCCCCGACCTCCTCCTGTACCCTTTCCCATTCCTCCATTCCCTACTGCTTGCCCCATCTTCAGCGACTGTCACTAAGGGCAGTTGGCTAGCAAAGCGCAGGATCCACACTGAGAAAGAGAGAGAGAGGAGGGCACGGGGCTGGGGGCTCCCAGAAAAGGCGAGTAGCTGGAATTCAAAGAAGATTAGGAGCCGGGAAAGGCAAAACAGGAGCTGGGAATCTCTGAAAATCAGGAGGCTGAGAATCAGAGCTGAGATCCGTGAGTCACGATCTCACTGCTGGGAACTGATAGCCAGTACTACTTGCAAGAGGAGAGAACTGGCACTAGCTGGTGTCTGGATGGAGCCAGAGACTCAGACTTCAGTGGGGAGCCTTGGCCAAGGAGCAGCGGGGCTGAGCACGCCTCTGTTCTCACCTCTTTCTCTCCTCCTTTAATGGGAATGCAGAATTAGCACTAGCAGGTGGAGGGCATTTCGTAACAATCCCAGCTCATTCCTGGAAGTCAGAGTTAGCATCCCCACCTCCCACCACCGAATCTTTGCTATCCCATGGCAGCCTGGGGAGGGATGATGATTCGAAATCAGGGGAAGATAACACTCCTTAGGTTCTTTCATTTCCACAACTCCATCCATACATATAAACATGTGTATATATGTATGTATATGTGTATACAAATAATATATGTGTGCATATGTATATATATGTATGTATGTAGTCATCTGTACATTTCACATATGCATTCCCTACATCCCTCATGTCAGTGAGCCAGGTGCCTTTAGAGGCCTCTACATCATACATTTCTATATATTTATAATGCTGTCTTCCCTTCACCTGTAGACCTCTCTCTCTCTCTCTCTCTCTCTCTCTCTCTCTCTCTCTCTTCTCTCTCATATATGGTATGCATATAGATATATATTTGAGAGAAGAGAAAGAGATAGATAATTTTTTGGGGGGGGTTCAGTCTCTCCTATATGTTTAACTTCTGTGTATCTGTAACCAGTCTCTCCATTTACAATTATCTATCTCCCTGTATGTAGAACTACTTCATCTGAAAATTTTATCACAGAGTTTAAGTAATGGTAGCCCTAAGGATCTAACTTTCCCCCAAGAGACTTGACTTAGGGGGCATGGACGAGCAGGGTCATGAGGTCAGCTTGGCTCTGAACACTCTGCTTGTACATCTGTTTCCAAACCCCCTTGCTTTGCCCCCTGGGTCATCATTTGGGAAGGAGGTGGGAGAATTGTCATTAGACCATGTGACTTTGGAGGCAGTGACCAACCATATGTTCTGTGACTGGGCAAGAGCATAAGCAGCCAGGAGCCCCCTTATATTCCGATAGATCCCCAAACCTAGATGAAAGAGATGAGATTCTCTTCCATTTAAGTCTGCTTCCCGGGGTGAAGTTTCTCTCTCCCCTCAAACTCTACTCTCCCCATCCCCCAAGCAAGCATGAATTCTAAAAAGGAGCAGGAAAGCTGACCTGTGTGGAATCTGAGGGAGGGAAGGCTTCATCTGCTTGGAGTGCCTCCCCAGAGATCCCTTCCCTTCTTCCTTTTTCAGGTCCAAAGCAAATTGTGAAGTGAGGAAAGATAGTTTACACCTCTGAGCCCTTCTGTTTGGACTCTTAATCTTCCTCCCAACCTCTACCCCCCAACAAACTCTTCTAGGGATCTCATGCTCATAGAACCCCCAGGCCGTTATGCTCCAGATCTATCTGTGTAGTTCTTTTCTCAGTCACTAATACTCACCTGTTTATTTAGGAGGCCAGTCAGTCATGCAGCAATTTTTCTTTCAGAGCTCTCTTAATCCCCAATAAAATAACTGACATCATGTTAAAGGTAATAATGGTTAGTAATGGTTTAATGTTTCACCTTTTCTGGGGTTCTTCAGATCATATCATGCAGGCTACAGTTTAGTAAGACTGGTCCTGCTCAGATCACAGTAAACAGCAGCCTGGGGTTAGATTCAGTTAATGAAGTCCCTATGGGACTTTTCCTCTTAATCCCTTTTGGGAAGCCTGGGTTTGACTTATATTTGGAAGTAGTCAAGGAAGGAGTAAATACTTAAAGCATAAATGAGGCAAAGAACTGCAGCTCAAGAGGAAGGTTAGAGGAAGGTACATTCTGTCTGTGGCTGACTTTGTTTAAGACCTGCCCTCTATGTATGCTTCACACCCTGCCCCCCACCCCCAACTGTTCTGTCATCATCTCAAGGCTGATCACCATCCTTATCCACAGGAAATTCACCCTTGTCTGAATACCTGGGCAAGTTACTTAACCATTCAGTTTCCTTATCTATAAAATGATGAGGTTGGACTAGATGTCCTCTAAGGTCCCTTTCAGCTCTAGGCCCATGATCCTATGAGCCTGAGGCACTTTGTACCTCACCCCATACAACAGGTCTGTTTTAAGTTGTTTCCAAATGCAAGATCAAAAGAAATCCTCAAACATTCTTTTAACTAATTAAAATTTTTATTGATATCTTTTAATTTTACATCACCTTCATTTCCAAATATATCTTTCCTCTCTTTGCCCCCCAAAGAGTCAACCCTTGTGATAAAGAACAAAAAAGCAACAGAAAGAAAAATAGTCTGGCCAACTAGTCAGAGTGTCAATGAAGCCAGATTCTTTACCCATAGTCCTTCACCTCTGAAAAGAAGCAAGAGATGCATTTAATCCATATATCCTCTGTGAGGCCAAGTTTGGTCATTATAATTGAATGGTGTTTAATTTTTGTTCTTGTTACCCCCCAAAACGTTTTGGAATCTGTAGCAACAGGGCTTTTTTGGGTGCTTATCAGGCCCATGGTATATACCCTGGCTGCCACCTGTACATGGCATGGGGCTACACATCTCTAACTTTGAGGGGAACATTTATTTCTCCTTCAGCCCTATTATTTGAGCTCTCTTTCTTACCCCTTCCTTCCCATTCTAGTGAGAATGCTCTGCTGATCCAAGGTGATGGATCCAATCTTAGGACTCCTTATCAATTCCCTCCCCATCCCCAACCATCTCAGTCCATGGCCTTGTTAAAATGGATGGATCTGTGCAGAGCATTTTACTATATGTCATTTGCTTCTAGTTCAGGGGAGGCGTGTCAGAATAGTTTTTTTTTATTAGTGGGGATGGGCAAGAGAGAAAAACAGATGATCAATAGGTATTTCTCGAGAGGAGGACACCTACTACGCACCCAGCCACCTACCAGGTGCTATGTTGTTTACAAAATAAATACCAGGTCAAGGTCCTTAGCCTAGATATACTTATTAGTAAAGAGTAACTAACGCATAAAATAGAGAAAAAGAAAGTGCTAAAAAGCAGAATAAAATGATTAGAAAGGCAGCCCAGGCCCTATTAATGTGGGCAGGGGAGAAAGGATCCACAGTTAATGTAGTGGAAAGAGGATGAGGCACCATCACAGGATGCAGAGAAGGAATTATCAGAGAGGCAGGAGGAGGACAATGAAAGACCCATCATCAGTATTTTTTGTGTATTTATTTTAGCTTTTCAAGTAGATGTATCTCCTCTCCTCAGTGGGATCCTAAGCTCCTTGAGGGCAGAGACTATGTTTTTATAACCCCTTCATGCTTAGCTGATGCCAGCTGCTGAAGGAATACTTGTTAAATTGAATTCCTGTTATCATTCTCACCCTCCTCCTACCAGGGGACCACCAGTCAGGGTAGCTGAAACAGCAGTGAGTCGTGTCTTTGCCACAGAAAAAGGAGATCCCAGAATAACAACAGAAATCAGAGAGGGATGTAACACTGAGTAATAAGTAAATACTGTTCAAGTGTTGGCACAGAAGAAAGAGGATTCCTCCCTAGCTTTGTTTGTCCATAAGTAATGGGAGCTTTTTTTTTTAAAGGCAATCTGGGTTAAATGACTTGCCTAGGGTCACATAGCTAGTATATGTCTGAGGCTGGATTTGAACTCAGATCCTCCTGACTCCAGGGTCAATGTTCTATCCATTGTGCCACTTAGCTGCCCTGAAAGAGCAGGTTAAGAGAGCTTTTTTGATATTTCTTTTTCATGTTTCAGAATGTAAACTTAAAATCTTGAATGTGGTGTTTTTCACATGTTCCTGTCTTCCATCCCTGCATATTCAACAGAAATTCCCCTAGGCAGAGTGAAAGTTTGGGGTTGGGTCATATTCCTTAGAGAAGAAGCCTTTGGAATTCATGTGCAAAAGGCCATGTGATTCTGTCATAAGGCAGGGGGTTATTCAAATATTTCAATCACCTCTTTTGAGAGGCAGGGCAATACAGTGAGTTTGAAGCCTAGATCTGTTGCTTTCTTGTGGTACCTTGGGAATGTTATTTGTTGGACTTCTCTAAGCCTTAGTTTACCTTTCTGTAAGATGAGGATAACAGTACTTGGACTAAGCATCTTCAAGGCAGTTCATAGGAAAGGTGCTGCATGAAGCCTGCATCCATCATTCGTACACTTACAAGTGGAA